ACTATAGAAACTAAATATTCGTTCGAAAGACACTACGATTCTGAAGCGGATCAAGTATGCATGGCGCACCTGAGAAGGGGAGTGACAAAGAAAGCTCCACTTTTCATACAGTTCAATTTAAGAACATACCTTTACTCGCTGATCTTTACAATGCATCAGTTTCACCGACATTCGTCCAATGCTATTCGTGATGCATTTATTGAGAGGAATCAGGATTAGTGCAGCAACGACTCCAGCAAGGAATGCCAGGCCGACCTTTAAGTTCTCTGTTTCGAGCGAGAAGACACAGTACGACTCGTACAAAACGGCGAAAAACAAACCTCTCTATACAGTAAATAAAGTGCGATAGCCAGTTGCACTGGTAAGCTCCAAAAGGCATGGAAAGAGTTACAGAAATTTACTAATCGATCTACATCTGTTGAAACAAAATTGAGAATCGACCCTGAAATTGCAAAATACTTAGGAAAAATCCAAAAAAGACCCCTGACAGGTTAAATATTATGTACCTGACGAGAACTTGCTCATTTCGCTCAGGGGCACCATAAGCAGTTTGTCATAAATTGCAGTAACAGTTGCTGCTCGTACTCTGAACAGCAGAAGGTTAACATGAAACACTTAGGACCTGAGAATCCTTTCGGATAACACTCTTGAGGGGAAAACACATACGTTTCGTCGCAGTCTGACGGGGCGGGGCTCAAGAAGATTGGGAAGAGCCATACGCGACTTCGCTTTCTATCAGTGGTGGCGGCGTTCGGGTAGGAAAACTACCGTGGTAGAAAACGACGCGAGCGTGCTCATTTACCCCGTCCCATTTATCTTGCGCGCCCGGTCGTTAGGAGAAATTTCTGCAAAATACGACCTCCTCAAAAGTCTTCTCTAGTACAATCCTATTCTCATCCACATACCATCTACCATTACCATGAACTTTCCCAAAATCCTAACACTTTTCCGCAGTTTTTTTTTTCAAATGTTTCGCCGTTGATCAATATATCGGATGTGGCACGCATTCTGCTTCCATTCGGAACCGCAAAGGCTTATTGGATGGATGTGCATTTGCGGGGTGACTGCGACTTGCGGGGTTCGCCGATGTACAAGTCAGTGTTTTTATCCTCCCAGACGAATCTGGTAACAACTTACCGTCCCCGACAGGGTACAGCATCGTTGTGTGTAACATTTAGACCCCCTCCTGCTCGATAGCAAAATTTTTGGGAAAAAGTGGGAAAACAGGAAATTTCAGGGAAATTCCGGAAAAAGTGGAAGGAAGTTGGGGAAAATCTAACAAATTTCCCCGTTTCACATCGTCTATAACTCCCCCCCCCTCTCGGAAAAATCTTTGGGTGAAAAACTGGAAAATGTGGGAAATTGGTAGGTTGGTTTCGCAGGAGGAGGGGGCAGGGGTCGTACCGAGACTATATTCAGGTGGGAGGGGTGGTATTGACACCGCAATTTCACACAACTGCGCGCGTGGTAAGTGTGCCATTTGCTACTAGACCGCCGTCACTCCGTCAGTTCGAAATTCCTCCAGAATTCCTCCAAAAAAATGCTGTAGACAGGGTTGGGCAGGGGGACGGGGGAAAGGTAGGGGTATATAGCGAAACTGGAAAGCAGAGGAAAGTCATTAGTCGAAAGCATCTTCCACAAAGGTGCAATACGACCCAGTCATTTCAGAGACCAAATACGTCCCCCGCTCCTTGTTGGGGTACACTCAGCGTAAGATCCTGGTACCGCCCGTTCAAATGCGACGATATCAACAGTAGTTGAACGGAACGTAGAACAGAGTCTCATGCAATTTAAAGTAAAAACACTGTAAATGCACTTACTTCAGGCTAATTTTCTGCACATAAAAGCTGAAATTGGTCGAAAACAGGGCAGCTAGGAGGGAACATAAGACCATTAAAGCGGCATACAAGAAGCCCATCGGCTGAAAGCAATCCAAACAAACTTAGAAGCCATTATGCAGAAATAAGCTCGTAAGTTTGTAGCTCACATTTGGCGCTGGATTCTCCAAAATATCAACAAGAAGGTGAAGCAGAATAGGGCCTGCGAAGGTGAATGCATCAGATGCGACTCTGAGTAAGGCGAGAGAGAAGAAAGCCACTCCAAAAGTGGACAACAGTGATCTAAAAACTGACAAATTTCTCTTAAAATCATGGATAAAATATCTTTAAAACATTTGGAAAACCTACGACGAGAGTGAATAGTGTTGACCATCGGAATAGAAAGTAGGTGAATTTTCGATCATTTTATGCTCAATAGCTGCCACTTCAAGCGACGGGGGCAGAGCAAAAACATCGTCAATCTAGAAAAAAATATTACTCATCAAAAATAAGCGAAAGCAGGCGCAGTTCGATTTTGTGGAGGGGGGGGGGCATATCTCTCTCAGCTAGGCCTGTACAGGCCTCCTTGTGAGGACTTGTAACTTTCTGGACCAAAGTGGTTTACTAATACCACTTCACAGTTTCGCAGGAGTTTACAGCTTTCACTTTGGTGAGACCTGTTATCCAACATGAAGTAACAAAAACAACGCACAAATGTGCAAAATGCCCTCTCCGAATGGAACAACGCCCAAGAGCACATTGGGAAGCAACAGTATCACCCACCGAGTTCAACTGCAGTTTGCCTCCTTTCTGAATCAGTATATTCGTCCAACAAAAGAAGATTCGTGACAAAATCCCTGCTGACTCGTCTGCAGACGCATGCAACTCTATATACCCGAATGATTCCGCCGTAATGAAGGCCCTTAAAGCAACGAAATTAGGCGCCGACGCTAATCTCACTTAAAGGCAGTGGGCACGATCGTTGTAGGCGGGCGGTTGTAGCCAACGTTATTGGTGGAAGGGATGACTGGATGTGGCCAAACGCCTCTCAACCACCTTCAGCGATCATGCCCACCGCTTCTAAGAGGAAAAAAAAGTGATCAAGGCGTTCATATGAACGCGCTTTTCCAAAAGTTACAACGAAGCGCCTTTTCTGCAGCCCTTGGGTGGTTGTTCTTTTACTATATTTTACTGAAAATATGAATGACCATTAACTCAGAGCTTTGGTGCTCTGTTAATCAATAATTAACAGAATCCGCAGAAGCTACAGTATACTTTGAATTCTTGTTTCCAGTGATCCGAACAACAATTGGAAGATGACACACCAGAAGAACATCATTTTGACGAAATCGGTAGCTTACAGCGAAGAAAGTTCCTCGGTCTAATTGGAACAGAACTTTGATATCGATGGTTTATTGTTTGTTTCCAGTGTTTCAACACTGAACACTGCTTTTGTCACCTGTTTATACAATACCATTATGAAGAGAGATTTTCGACGGCGTCCGCAGATGGACATATAGTAGTGCTCAACTAAGTCGCTGTTCAAATTGATCAGAATTCATTATATTAGCGGTTGCCAACGTTTGCATAAAGGTACCCTCTTATTGGGCGGAGAGAGCAAAGCAGGGAGTGCACATTGTGCCCCTCTCTTCTAGTCTGAATCTTCGTGAAGCGTTCATAGTCACTCACTCCTGTGATTCAGTGCCTCGTGTAGTGCATTGGGGTAATCGCGCTGGACGCCTTAGCCTGCATTCATACTTTGCGGCAACGACCAGCAGCGTTTCGAACGTCCGTCAGCTAGGAAAGCATAGATATTGATGCTACGACCACCAGCGTCCACCAGGGTGCCGAAGTTAGAAGTAAGGGGCGATAGGAGAGCAGCAGACAGCTAGTAAAGAAGGTAGCAGACTGCTGATAGGGAGTATGGGGCGATGGGAAGATACGAGCTGTCACTCTCACATCGCTCCACACTCTTCACTCGAGGACGCTTCTGATCGCTGGTGTACGCTGGTAGACGCTGCTGGTAGCTAGATCGGTACCTATATCACTATACTTCGAGACGCTTCTGAACGCTGGTTGGCGCTAGATTGATATCTTTAGTTTAGCCCCTAGCGGACAGTCGAAACGCTAAGTAATAGACGCTGCCGCAAAGAACGAACTTAGCCTGAGTCGCTCATGCCGCCGACTATGAACCCGATCTTGCGTAACTCTGAGTGGGGAGG